GTGCCTACGCCCCCTCTCCGTGAGGAAGGGCTTCCTGAGATCCAACCTAAACCTGCCCTGACACAGTTTCAGGCCGTGCCCTCTGTCCTATCACTGGTTGCCTGGGAGAAGAGCCTGACTCCCACCTGACTACATCCTCCCTTCAGGAAGTTGTAGAGAGTGAGAAGGTCCCCCCTGAGTCTCCTCTTCTCCAGGCTAAACACCCCCAGCTCCCTCAGCCTCTCCTCACAGGACTTTCCCTCCAGCCCCTTCCCCAGCCTCGTTGCTCTCCTCTGGACCCGCTCCAGCCCCTCAAGGTCTTTCTTGCAGTGAGGGCCCCAGACCTGCACACAGGGCTCGAGGTGAGGCCTCACCAGTGCTGAGCACAGGGGCAGAATCACATCCCTGCTGCTGCTGGCCACACTGTTCCTGATACAAGCCAGAAGCACCCAACTGACTTAGCACACAACCAGTAAAGGCCAGTGTTAGTTCTGCCAGTCCCAGAATACTCCCTGGGAAGCAGCAGGCACTCTGGGATGCCTGGCTATGTTTTCCCAGATCAGAAAATGCTACAAAGTAGGAAAACAGCCTTCCCAGTAAGTGCAGAGGTTTCAGAGTGAATCATCAGGGTCTGCTAGATCTGGATCAGTAGCAGCCAGATTGGATCTTGGCTTGCTCTGACACTCTACTACACCAGCATTGTACGTTTACATCGTGCTCTTTAATGTATATTTTAACGGATTTTTTTTACCCCAGAGGTAGCACAGACCTCCATTAATGCAAGTAACATAAGTCAGTTGTACATAGTCTTCTGAAGGAGAGCTGACTATCTGAAAAATCAGTTCATGCATCACTCATCTGAAAACCTGAAATAAAATAAGTTTAAATTCTGCATATATCACACACTGTTTTATCAAAATTTGACTTAACTTACTGGAATTTACATCACTGCATTGCACACTGAATAGGTCTAACAGAATGACTAAATTGAACTAAGATTTCTGTTACTTTAGTACATTTGTAAACACCAATAACTGACATGAAATCAAGCAATAATCTTGGTGTTATTTTAACATAGCCTTTTCCTGACAGAATAAAATCACTACTTAAATTTGTGAAAGAAGAAGAAGAAAACTCTTAAGTCAGCAAGCACATGTACAAGTCTTTCTCAAGCTGTGTTTGCAACTAAGCTGATTCTTGCGTTACTGTTGTAGACTCACCGTTCATGAATGAGTCTGCAGCTCGCTGTAAGATAACTCTCAATTATTACGAATACAAATCTGAGAGCTCTCATGGCAGGAACGATGCCTTTCTACTTTTGGGCTTGAACAAAACCATCTTCTCCACAGTAACAGTGGGCTTAAACCATACATGTAATCTAATTTATGAGAACTACGTGAAAAACAGTTTGTGTTCAATTTGTTTTGTTCGCATGTATCGCTACTTCAAACAAAGCAGCCAACTTTTATATGTACCACATAGGTTTTACTCCAAAGTGTGCTAAGATTTTATAATTCTACCTGAAGTTGTCACGAACACTTCCTCTCCAGAACTTCAATAACAAGAAGAACAAAAAAAAAAAGTTTAAAAAAATCAGTGATTAAGAATCCCAGACCTTGATCAAGACCTAAGATCAAGAATCCCAGACCTTGTGACTTATTTCATTAATTTCAAAGACTACAGAAACTTTCAGATATTAGAAACAGAAAATAGTGAAGTGCCGTTCTAGTCTATATTGATGGGCAATCGATGTGCCCTGTGATTGTTTTTTCCATCACAGTTATTCATCTACAATTCACAATACTCTTTTTTGGCTTACAAGTTAAATAACAGATTCTTGCTACCTTGCATACCACCACCACAAACGGTGCCTACAACTGATTATTTCCAGAAGCACACATATGCAGCTTATTACAGACAAGATGTATATAGCATGAAACTATGCTGGCATAATACAGAACTTGGTAATTTTGTGGATTTAGAGGTATGGAAACCTGACTACATTGATTTTACAAATGTCACTTTCTGCCCTATACACAAGTATTCTGTGAAACATCTACAACATATATTAAAAAGATGGGACAACGAATCACAAAATCACAGAATTTTTGAGGCTGGAAAAGACCTCTGAGTTCTTCAACTCCAGCCTATAACCCAACACCACCACATCAGACCATGACACTAACTGAAGTACAATGAAACGTAAGAAGAGTCAAGATTACAATAATTACCTTCATATTAGGAACATGAACAACATCCCCATACTGGTCTTTTGTTTGTACTGTAATAACAGTTGGCCAACCGCATCGAATATCATCCTTATTCAAAATCAATGATGTTTTTTGAGGATCAGCATATGAATCTGGCTGAAGCCACCTACAGCAAAGAAAAACATTTGACATAAAAATCTCTTACAGACTCTCAAAAGGTACATTATTACTGTGTACAAACATGACTTTCAGCTAAGAAAAGATGCAGAAAGTCTGAATACCTAAATGATTTTACCTAATATACTAACAGAAACAATATGGCCCAATAGATTTTTTTTTGATTAATATTTGATACAACTATTGAAGTCCTATAGCTAGCTGTAGACACAAGCAAGAATGCACAGCTTTTAAAATTTAGCAGATGACTAAATATTTTCTACTTTGCTGGAAAACATAAATATTACAACTATGAAATAAAGGGGTTTACTCATGCAGCACACAAACTTTTACCTTGCAAGTCGCCCGCCACTTGATCCTGATACACAAGCAATGAAATCCTCCAGAAATGACTGTTCATTACTTTGAACCTGCAGTGGAAGACTTCCTTCAAGAGCTTCCAAGATGGTTGGTGAGTGAGATAGGGCCAAGCCTTTCCCAAGAATGCCGGAGTGAGATTTGCAAACCTGTTTGGTTTTGGGTTGTTTTTTTTTTGCAGAGGTTGAGTTGAGGGTGAAAGGATGGAGACACAAAACAGCTTTTCAGTATCATACATGTAGACACTTTTTCATAAAATGCACAAATGAGGCAGACATTTGTGGCATCAAAAATCATTCAAGGATCTCTTCCATAAAGACATTTTTGGGTGAGACAAAGTAAAAGAAATTGTTTCTTTGCAAGAAGGGAAGGAAGGCGGGAAGATGCATAAAATACTGAGTAGACAGGAATAAAAGCAAAACTGAATCTGTTATTTGCACACACACTCCTAGCTCACATTTCATATTAAAACACAGCGGGTCCAAGAACAGATCGCTGAAAAAAATATTTCTTCCAAGGAACATCTGATTCCTCCTAGACAATTTCTGTGTACTATTCTGTCATCTAAGGCCTACACAATGGTGTCATGCTCTAGCACTGATGTTTATCCAGCAAGGACTGTGACAACTGAGTTTCAAAATAGTTGCCCTGAAGATAATTAGAAGGACTGTGATAATTCCTTTTTCACTGCTGGTCATCGGCTAGGTGTTATAAACAGGGAGGTACTGATCAGCGTTGGCTGCCGTCACAACAAACAAAATACCATCACCAAAACAGCTGCAGCTGCGTTATTTGTGACTTGATACATCTTACCACTCATCTGAAAAAGTGATTTTATTTCTGCAATTACAAAGCCACGTGAAGGATTAATTCTGGTAACATTTAAAATTTGCTAAATAGTGCAACTTAAGCCAGACACTTAAAAATTTTGAAATATACTCAGTCATCTAACTTTATATGGGATATTTCAAGCAATTTTTCCCAAGCAGATAAAAAAAAGATTTAACGTAAACACCAAACCTCTGTAAGATTTTCTTCAACTGTTTTATAACACTCTGGATTCCCTTGTATTATGAAAAGCTTACAAGTGATTTTCAGTAACAGTCAAAAAATTCAATGCAATTATATGCTTAAGTATGGTTCAATGGATAAAAAGCCGCAGCATACCTGTAAGGCTGCCTCTTCAAGTATCTCCAGATCTTCTTCAAATTCATTACCTGCTGTAAAAACATAAACACAATTTTTGTAACAGTAACATTGATATTTATCTAGGTATTATAGAAAGTGAAACTCAGCTCTGTTTCATAAAGCCTTTTATATTGCAAAATTTAAAGTTTGCAAAATGATGCATTATATTGTTTAACCAGCAGTTGAACAATTAATATTTTGAAGTAAATGCAGTAAACATGCAGTACTGTATAGTTCAGTGCAGAAGCAAATAAACATGTTACATGAAACAAAAACACGGTAATTATATTCTTATCTCCAAGACAGTATGTATGGCAAATCTTTGGGTGTGACTAGATACTTTCAGAAAGAGATTTTGGGAGGTCAGGATGGTTTCCGGGAAGCAGTACCTCCAAGTATGTACCAGCTGCTCCCTTTCAAGGTCTTACCCTCGTAACGGCATTTGAAATCCTGATAAACTCTGCACAATTTTGTAAATCATTGTTTCTCCTAAAACACAAAATTCTAGTACATTCTGCTGTACAGTATTTCTTTGTCAAGGCTCAAAAGTCTGATTCCAAGGTGATGAGAATTGCCAAACACACTCTTGTATAGAAAAGTAAAACAGATAAGGTTATCGTGTTTCTACTCTCTCTCAAAAACATGTCAGGCAATTCTACTAGTCAGGAGAGAGAAAGAGAAATAAGAAGAATCAAGCTCTAAAGCATTTTTAAAAATTCAAAGGAATAAAGACATATAGAAATTCTGCTCTCAGAAATAACTTCTACCAAATCTGAAACAATTAAGTGAGTAATAATGTTCATTGATCAGTTCTGCACTGCTGTTTAAGTTAGATCTTCGTCAAAGTCCAGACCTCTCTCTCAAGGAGTATCTTTAAGTCTTGGAAAATGGGTAAGGAGGAAATGAACATGGTAACTCAAACAGCATTTGAGTGTACTCTCAAAGATAAAGTTTTCTTAATACATGAAGGAATCACTGTCTTGTTCATCTTCCTTTGCAGCAAAAAAGGCTAAACCTTGATTTTCTTTCAAAACACTCAATTTCCTAATGGTTCTAGAGGAATACTTGCACAAGTATTTGGCTACCTGCATACAAAATACACCCACTGCGACAATTATGAAAAAGCAAGGTACCTCTTTGTGAAGGACAATACATCAAGATAAATCATGTAAATAAAGCTGGAGATGGAAAGATCCTACAAGGGTGCCAGTAACTTTGATTTGAATTGAACCATTCTATTTGCCCTAACAGAAAGTTCATAAAGTTTCTTACTGTCAACATTAAAATCACCAGGTTTTAGGAGCCACTTAGATGGATCCAGAGGTCTAAAGAGTACTTGGGAAAGTATTTACTTCGTTTAACTAAGCAAACTGCCCCAGTTTGGGGTAGTGCAGCATGAGATAACAAGCTCAGACATAGGTATTACAAAATATCTTCATAGCAAATGGAGAAGAAACAAGCTCCTCTTTTAGGCAATTAACTTCGTTTTTCTTATGGCTTCGTCTTACAATAACATGAACCATCCTCTGAAGATGTTTAAATTAACTCTAAAACAAGGTTAGAGTTAGTAGCTTAGATATAGATGCCTAACTTTCATATGCCAAAGTTGTTAGTTGTTTTGTGTAGTGAGCCTTTTTTCGGGTTACTTTCTTTAGCCTGTACAGACAGAACAAAGGTAAAACTGTAGAAATTAGAAAATAAAGTATGAAAAGTCTAATAAAAAGGGCATTTCTGTGTGTATGCACTACAAGACAGTCTTTTAGATTATTTTATGTGTTTTCCTTAAAAGGCACTGCAATTCCAGGGGTAAGATGACACTGCTCTGCAGATGAGCAATGGAAGTAACAAAGTATTTTTTAAAACACCATTTCACTCGCAGCAAAATATAGAAGACAGGTAACAAAGTGCAGAAAGAGAAGAAATAGTCTGATAACTAAGGCATTTAAACGTTGCTCTAACAAACCACATTTTTACCTCTTTTTCAGAAAAAGTGTCTTCCTGAGACACTAAGCAAAACACTTAAGGCAATGTTACAGACAACAAAAACCATCCCAAGCAGGTTGCACGGTGGTTTCCATTTGCAACTATTACCACTGCTGCCTATAATTATCAGTTTGGTTTATTCACAAGGACCAATGGTCTTGCAGAGAAAGAATGCACACATATGTCATTGGCAGCGTAATATTATCAGTGACATTAACAAACCTGGCTTAAGTCCTGGAGTTGGTGTCAGATAAATGGTCAGATGAATCAATTGTAATTACATCATTAATCAGGAAACTCTTTACAGGCAATGCACCTGTCCCTCTGCCCTTGTAGATCACACACAACCACTTTTATAGGTGGCTGAGACTGCATTTGTACCTTAACAGTACGTTTTATTTCAAATTCCTTCTATCTGAAAGCACATTCAGCCAGTCTACGTATCACTTTTTCATCTTGGTTCACACATTCAAAATTAGAGCAAAAACTAAAAAAAAAAAAATCTCTTTAGAGAGAACTATGAAGTATTAGACAACCTGGGAAATTAAGTTAGAAGAAAGCATTTAATTTTAAGCTGAGTTTTGTGGGGTTTCTTTGTTTTGATTTTCTTTGTGTTTTTAATTTTATTTTATTTTAATCAAACACCATGATAAATGGGTGCTATGGAAGTCAACAAAATTCAAGAGTTAATGTGGGTGTTTGGAGAACAGGACGCAATTTAAACTACAGAATTGCCTGTATTTTTGAGAGAGGTACACGGATCTACCAGTGCAATTGAGGTGCCTATGTACAACATAAAGCAAGAAATTTGCACATTCAAATACACAAGCAAAATACCGGGTTAAAAAAAAAATATAATAAAAAAATCAAATTGGGCTTTGTGGTTATAACTGCACACTGATCAATGCCTTCCTAGTCGTTAATGAGCGCTTCCAGTCTCATTAACAAATCTGGGCTCTCATTTGTGCTCCTACATTAAAATTGATCAAAAAGATATCCTACTAGAGATTATGAGCTTGTTTTTCTTACACACCGATGTAAATTAGGAGAAATGCTATTACACAGAATATGGCTGCATCATGAGAAGTTCAAATTCAATCTCTTCATTGATTAGTTTTCATGAACTGATATTTTTCCTTACATTGTAAATTGCACTTGGGTTACTGTAAAGCTTTATTTGCTGTATCTGCTGCAAAAGTATATAATTTTTTTTTGTAATACAAAAATAAAAAACACAGCAGAAATATTTCAGGCTATATGGTCTACAGAGGCAACGGTCACTTTCAATTTCAAACAAGAACTTTTAAATTTTGCAATTCAATGTTGCAGGTATTTTTTGTTCAGGACGGTGTGGAGTGCAGGGAGAAAAAACAGTGAAAGAGAAATACAAGTAAGATACCTGCACATTCGTGAAGTACCACGAGGAAACTGTAGGACATAGCTCGTACACTGATACATTACCTGTGGATGGGGTGAGTTGGTTCAGATTTATATGACCAGATTTCCTTCCTCCCCATACACACATGAAGGGAACAGTGTAAGGAGAAAACACCACTGCTTTATTAGCTTGTTTAATTCAGTTTTAAGAATCAATTTCATATGATTACTCTAACTAAACCAACATTAAGACTTAAAGATTAACTCAGAAAACCCAAAACAATAATGAAATAATGTCGTATGTTCTTTGAATAGGACTTACCAATAGGAAGCGCTAGATCTTTCTTCATCAAAGCTGCAGCACATGATCCTCCCAGATTTGCCAATTCTTTCTCCAGCTGAATAATACCCTTCAAATTGAAAAAGATTTTAAACTGAAATTTTAAAACTAAAATAGGTGAGAAAATAGGACAATGAATATGTTTCCCTGATGCTGCTTTTTCCCAAGAGATACTGATTGTGTGTTCCAGTTAGAAGTTTCTCAAGTGATAAACTTTTTGCCATACAGTTACTGTCACATTTTGCTGTGCCATGGGCAAGCATATCAAAATTTTGAGAACAATTTCAACTAGATAAGGGTATCAACAAAGGGGTTACCATGCTTCCGGTGGCCTAATAAGAACATCTGAAGCTAATAGTCTTTTGTATGTAATGTTAAAGAGAAAGAAAATTTCCTAATATGGAAAAACTTGCCAATATATTCTCAAAGTGCAAAGCAATGCCTCTTCTAAGCTGTACATGCATACACACCACACATCCCCATCTTGTTTAAAGGTAGTGCTGTTCATAACTCTTTTCCTCTTTCCTTTCTTTGAGCTGGACAGTTGAGGAGGGAAAGAAGATCCTGTAATTTCCCTTTCTCCATTAGAAAGCCTGGGAGATGTCCTTAACATTTTCTCCCTTTTATGTGCACCGGGAAGTTAATACTTCCCATTGATGCTGCTGCTCCAGGGCATGAGAAGAGTCCCTCCCTCCCACCAGACTTGTCAATGAAAACACAAGTGTCTTTCCATCAGTATCTTTCAACCTTGTTCGCAAGAAAAGAGGGAACAGAATGCACACGTGGTTTCAAAATACACGGAGGGAAGGAGACTGGGTGCAAGGAATGAGCTGAGTACTAGGGAGGTTGTAGCTACTTTTTAAACCATAAAGAAATGTATTCGATACTTCCCCTTCAACTTGTCCCAGCTACAAGCAGGCGCAACCTCTTTAACTTTGCTCACTAACACTGATTTTAAGAGAAATCTGTGGGTGGTTTAGTACAACTCTGGCAGCTGCCTCTCATGTAGGAACAAAAACCCAAGCAAACCACCACCAAAAAACAACAGGGGAGATGGGAAACCTCCGTTGGACAGATTTTCTAGGCAATCTTACAGAAACTGGCAATATAAGAAATTGAGTAAAAAAAAATTTAAAAAATTTTTTTTTTTTTTTTTGCAAAGAGCCTTTGAAACGTGTAACCCTAGACTTGTCTTGTATTCTGCAAGACTTGCAAGCAGACTGAAAAATCTTTGAAATGGGTTTTCAGCTAACCCCTTCACAAACTGCATCGTTAGGACTCAAACCAGCAGGTTCTGAAATAATAAGTAAAGGTGGGAAATGTGGACCAACCCACTAGAGAGTTGTCTGCTGTGTGAACACCTGTTATGCAGATGGCAATTTTTGCATATATTTTGTAGAATTCATAATAACCAGTAAAGTCTTCTTTTTCATTCATACAAGCATAAATTTACAGTTTTTCAAAAAAATCCTAGGTTTAATTGAAGTTTAATAGTTCAACTACACCCAATTTCTTGATGCACTCACTCACACTCAGTGACATCTTTCAGTTTTTGCAGACTTCCCTACTAATGAACGTCATTCAATATACTAGAGGTAACAATTCCAGAAGCTTGTTTCTTTGATAGGTGAAAGAATCAGATGTGCAAAAATTAATCTCACTGACTTGATACTTTTACTACTTAAAGCTAGAGAAAAAACAGTGGTCACAGAACATATGCTTTTTTTTTCTAACCAGTGGTAATACTTCAGAAAACTGTAGTAACAACTTGTGTTGTGTGTCCAGCTACTCGAGTTACTTATGGAGGACTTAGTCCTGAGATGCAAGGGATCTTAAACACCATAATACTTGCTCTTCTATTCATAGAACTTTAGAGTGTTTGGTCTATGAAAAGGGACGTCTGAAAACAATTACCTGCAACTTTTCTTTAGATGGTTTAGTTAACATAGTCTAGCATGTTTTAGCACTGAATGTTAAAACCATGTCAGCAGCTTTGTTTGTAACTGCTTAAAAAAAATAAAGGACATATTATGAATCTACATCTTTTTTTCTGCTTAAGCAAAAAGTATTTCTTTTCTTCAGGCTATTTAGATTATAAATCTGATTTGCTGCAAGCCAATGAGATAACCACAGCTAATAATTTTATGGTATGCTTTCTCATCTGATATGTTATGATATTACAAAGAAATCTCTTATTTTGAAAATCTGAAGACACAATGTAGCCCAAGCAGAATCCAGGAATGAGAAGAGGTAAATCTTCTCTGAGGGTTGTAGTGTAAGCAAGGTACAGAGGCTGTGAAGTTCACAGAATCACAGAATGTTCGGGGTTGGAAGGGACCTCTGAAGATCATCTAGTCCAACCTTCATCCCAGCATAAGTTCACATGAAGCAACAGGTCCAAAGACTCCCAAGATAAGCAAAGGGCTATTTTTTCTGGAATTTTTATAAAGCATATCAAATATTTTCTGTTTTAAGTAATCTCTTAAAATAAGCCAAAATGAAACACTAGTCAAGGATACAAAGAAATCTTATTCTCCCCTTGCAACAAAGAAACAGTGGTGGAAACAACTAATGTTCTTAAACACAAGAGGAGGGGACTACCTCAGGTAGCCTAAATGAGCACCGCATTTCCAAGGAGCCTGAAAGTTCTGGTATGAGTGAACACTAGTAAAATAATGCAAGTTTGTAATCTCATAATTAGCAGTGAGAGTAAAATACTAATCATTGTGTATCTGAAAGTCCCAGTCCTTTCAATTTCTGATAGGATACTAACTCAGAATTTCAGGAAATTTCGTATCCCACTGACATATTAGATAAACCCATTCATTATGAGCAGACTGTCAAATTACTGAAAAATCAAACAAAATGTCATTCCAATAATATTCAGAGTTCCAAACAAATAACACCTGTAACAAAAAAAAAATTAAAATTTACATTACATGGATATTTTAATATTTTGCTAATGTTATTTAGTCGTAAGTGGAAATACAAATATTTTTACCCCATGAAATGGCCGTATAGAAGAGAATTAATAGGTGCAGCAATTGTAACCATTCCACCTTTTTCTTACCTCATCAGAGCCTGGACTAAATTCATATCCAATTGCGTAACATTTGAAACCATAAAAACAAGCCTTTTCATCTTTCACGTAGTCTGATGCAGTCTCCAGAGAAAAAAGAGCTTCATTTCCTTATAGGAAGAAAATAAAATTAAAAAAAAAACGTAAATAACACTTCTCTTTTCAATATGTTTCTTCTACGTAAGCATACATGAAATTCAGACTTTATATGTAACATGAAAAGTAAAACTATTAATAACACAGATCAACACTTCAAACAAGAAACCTTACAAACAATCAACTTATGTACAACCAACAACTCACAGCCATCAGCTTGAAAATATTTTTCAACTCTGTTTTCTGAGACAATTTTGCAAAGGCCAGAATAAAATAAAAAATAAAATCAAGCCTTCTTTCATTTTTTAGAAATTCACATTACTAGAAATTATTGCAGTATCTATTCATTACCTGGCAACACTAATACCATGGTAGGCCATCCTGAAGATCCTGAGAATTTTTTCAGTTCTATCCATGAATTTAGGTTTTCATGAACAGAACCATGCTTTGGTCCAAATCCCAGACTCTGTGCAATTCTGACAGGAATTAGTAAACGAAGAACATCCTCTGACTGAGCAGTGCCACACTGAGTGTCAAACTCTATCGTTATCCACCTGACACATTCAGGAAAAGTCACCTGAAACAAAACGATAGTCTAATTATGTGCAAGTTTTGGGAGTTATCTTTTTCTTTTCTTTTTTTTTTCATTTAATTCTCCATTTACATTTGGCTTTAACTCTTTAGGCTATGAAAGTGATACAGTTATGTAGTTCTGTATAGTTGTTTTGATATGCTTTAGATTAATGTTAACCTGATTTATCCTTTGAAATTCAGATACACCTGAAATGCTTTACAACTTAGTGAATTATAATAACATATCATTTATGTTCAGATTAAGTATGTGCACTTATACCATTTGTAACTGTTTTCAAGAACTGCATGGAATCATTAAAATAATCACTGGCTATTACAAATAATTAACTTTCAAATGCCTTTTTAAAGACCAACTTCAACAAACACACTCGATACTTTTTTTATATAATCTTAGGAAAGTACATAGCAGCCGAATTACACTCGCAAATATGGTCTGCAGTATGAGAGCACATAGCTACAGAAATTCAAAAGCAGTAGCAACTAAGCCTAAGACTTCAGATGAGCTTCACATACTTCTAAAACAATAATAAGCATCACTGCATCAGGAAGATCATACAAGAATTCTGCAGTGGATGTCTTGCTGCCTCACAAGACAAGCAAGTGGAATAGTAATTAATGACCTTCAGCTCTTACTCGATTCTAGCTTTGCTACCTCTGGATTTACAGAGATGGAATCAATGTGACTGCAGAACACACTATTTCAAGAACTGAAGCATGGGGATTATGTCTCAGGCATGTAATTTATGCCTCAGCCCTTTATTTGACGACTAGAAAAAAAATATCCTTTCTCTATTGACACTGAGGAAAATCAATACTCATCCATGTAAGGCAGGACGAATCCTGCTCAGAGTGACTTAAAGTTAAGAGGACTTCAGAGACTTCTAAAACATCAAATAATGGTCCAAGAGAAAGTAATTAATGAGGAATTTAAATTGGCAGACCAGTAATAGCCAGCATAGGGATCTCTACACTGTAATGCTTATTAATTCAACTAGAATTGATGTTAGGTATTTTTACAAAGCATTGTTTTAGCATGAGATAAAAGTCTGAAAGATTATTAGAAAATGTATACATAAGGCTTCCAACTTCTACAATCTGTACAGTTACAGCAACGAAATTGTGCATGACAGTAGGAAAATGTAAGACTGAATAAACTTAGGGACTTAGAACAGATACCTGCATCAGGGGGTTCAAACTACACTAATTTCCACTACACTTACTGAACAAACCGAAGTTTTCTTTTAAAAGCGGTACAGTAATAACATAGACAACCATCTCCTCTATTAGACAATATGAATTATCATCCCCTAGTAACATTTTTTCAGATGGCAAGAATTGACAAAACAAAACTTGTGCATCAAAAGCTTTTAAGAAACCGCAGGCGCTCTTAGAACTGGTGCTCACCTTATAGTGCGTGACAGAGGCAGGTTTATAGGGATGCTCGCTTTCTACGACAGCGTAATGATTGGAGGTAGTACAAGCTGAAAGCCCTTGCTCTGGTTGGTTGCCGGTGGTGCTATCTGTAGACTGATTCGGGTTAAAAGCTGGAGGGGCATATTTCTGATTCAGAACTGCCACCGAAGGAAGTAACTGCTGTACTAGGCCAAAGACCTCAACGGCAACCTGTAATGTAACACCACACACAATAAAGGACTAGTTATCACTGGTTGAAAACAATACTCAGATTTACATTTCTCTACAACAGGTGTTTGGGATATTATCAGATTATTTCTACTATAATTCACTTAGTCATCTTCCTATTCTGCATCTACATAATCATGACAGAAAAAAATGCATCACTGCCTTCATCTCAAATACTACTCTTGAAGACTCGCCAAATCTCAAACAAAATTTGTATGCAACTGCAAGATGCCTCCACTAAAATACCTTCTAAAACATGTAACATGAACAAAAAATTAGGCTGAGTTGACAGAAAGTAAATACTATACACCGAAGTCACAGTCCAGTTATACTTTGGGTTTTTAACATGAATATTTTTTTGAACATTGGACACATTTTAATGCACGCTATACACCAGTTATACACCAGTTATACACAGTCCAGTTATACTTTGGGTTTTTAACATGAATATTTTTTTGAACATTGGACACATTTTAATGCACGTGTTAAGCATCACATTGTTCCCTATAATCTTTATGACATCTTCAAAGGAGAACACTTCTAAAACAGAACACTTGATCCTAAACACCAATTAATCTCAGTAATAAGGTAACTAAAATTTAAAACTATTTTAAATGAAATTAATCTGCTAGATTTTAATTGGCCAGCTCTTTTTCCTCCCTCTTCTTTAAAGAAAAGCCAGAAAGGAGCTTACAGCACATGAAGAAGTAATCAAAGGCAAAAGTGTCTACTGCGTAAAGATTAATGACATCTAGTAAGAGACTTCAAGTCTTCCATACCCTGTACATGGAAAAATGTCACGCCATTGAAAAGTAAGGACTTTTTTATTTAAAGCTGACACCTTCCCATCTTCGAATTTGACAGAAAGAATCTTAATTTAATGAGCAGCTACCTCTGCTTTGGATGTTTACTGTGAAGACAGAACTTAGTAACAAAAAACATTGCATCCCACCTATATTTGTCAAAGAGTCATAAATGCAGATCCTTCTAACTTCCTGTCTTTTCCTACCATTGAAGCTTGTCATCTTTCCTTCTGCTTCCTTAAGGATTTTTTTCCACAATGTCTTCAGTTTAATTAAAAAAAAAAAAAAATAGCCATTTTTAAAACATGACATTTTAAAAATATTTGACTCTCAAAAAATTCATAGGTCAGAGAATCATAGAACGGCCTAGGCTGGAAGGGACCTTAGAGATCATGGTCTAATATAAACCATCAATTTGTAAAATTGTAAGAAATCAAGATGTTCAGCTTTTCAGCGTAATCCTTTTCCTTGAAGAAATTGAAGAATGTTGTACAGAAACTTCTGCTGAGGATCATACCTTGGGAATAGCTGCTGCTACTGGTCCTATGTAGGCTATTATGAGGGGAAGCAGCATTGAAAACAGACTGGAAGAGCTGAGGAGTTCTGGAATGTCTTCAGCTAAACAAAGATAATTACAACATAAGCATTATTAGTAGATGTACCATAGTTCAAAACACATTTTTCTGCGTTGCTTATCACAAGTTAAAGAATAATTTTTTTGCACTAGTTTTTACTTCAAATTATTTTCATTATCTAGGTATTGTCAAATTCTAAACCCACAGAGTTCACTGGAGATAAACATGCCATTATATACCGTTTTCTGTGGAAAAAAAAATTCCTGTTCTTAGAGCATAATATTATAGAATTGTTTGCCATTTTGTGAAGCTGCATTTCTCAAAATGGATGTCTACATTTCTCAGAAAGGGATGTTTAAGTGCTTTAAATGCACTTTTTAAATGCATTACATTCTCCAGTCTTCCTGATTAGCACTGCTGTGCAAAACATGCAATAAAATTCCGAACCGATCCATCATTGCCCACCTTTTGGAGATAAAAAACCTTACCAGCTTTAATATGATATTTGCTAAATTGGTGAACAAATTTATACAAGGTTTTTATTTGTGGTATCTCAAGTGCAACTCAATAACTTAGAAAGTTAAAGTTTGATACAGGAATGAAAGGTTACCAAAATATTCTTGGGAAAGCAAAAGAGAAGTGTCACAATTTTTGTATCATCAATATTTCACTGCTATCTCATGCTATCAAAGAAGTAAGTTCTGAAAAGTACATTTTTAAAGCCAGTTTTCAAAAGCCTTACCATCTACAGCAAGAGCCCTGTGCAACAGGTCTTTAGCAGCTCGTACAACAGCGCTCACCACAGAAAGAGCCCTGCTACAGTTTTTATCTTCTTCATTAGCTTTGTTCAAAAGCTGTGATTGCAGATCTCCATCATACTCACTCCTGGATGGGGGATTAAGTTAAAGTTTACAAAATACGAAATAATATTAAAAAACATGACTGACCATTTATGATAAAGCAACATAACAATCAATCCAAGAAATCGCAAAGGACGTTTTGGAGGCAACACCTCAGCGTTAGCCCTTTACAATCACTTTATTTTGCTGAAAAATATGAAAAGCATTTTTCTGAAATATTTCTTTTGACTAGATGCCTTTCAAACCATAGGAATGTATTAATCACTATTAATACACTGCTCTTCAAAGACCAACCACTTATCTTGATAAACACATTCTAATACTAAACACGTCATAGAAATTCATAAAAATCTTTCAATGGATATTTCTGTAGTATCATAGCAAGGAAAAGAATTCTCTCTCCCTATTCTAAACGATTAATTTTGGTTTTGAAATATAATCTTAGGCTTTCCCTTACTGAAATATAATCTTAGGCTTTCCCTTAATAGCTTTTTCTTGGAAATACCAAATCAGGTTCTCCTAAACATCATGCACAAAATTATTTCAACAAGGTATATACAAGATATAGTCTGATTTGCTTTTTCAAAGTAGTCAAATGACAAACTGATTCAAGTCTTCAATACGCATTGATTAAGCCGTGCCATAGACAATCAAAATCACTTAAAGACAACATATAAAACAAAATTTCTCATCTCTTCTGGATTTCTTATGTTTATCAAGAAAGATCTGATCTCTCACAAGATGACTTCAGAAAAACCAGATTTCAGCAATGGCACCTCACAACAGTTAAAAACTTTACTTCAGCAGGCAACAAGGATGCTCATCCTTCTCTATGACTTAAATTAACCAAATCTACAAAAAGATTTTTTTTGTGTGTGTGTGTGTCTTTGTCCATGAATTGTAGTTCTGCTGTTAGCGTCAAGCCTTTTTAATTTGAATTTATTAGTGACTGATAATAGGTGTAATTCTAACTGGAGGCTTTTCCAGCAAATCCTTCGAAAACATTTATGTCTTTATCAGAAGTGTGTTAACACACTTTTGGTATGGCATTCCTTGGTGCTTCCATAAGCAACAATTCTATTTGTATTTGAAGGGCCTTCAAAAACTTGAGTGTAAATCTTACAATCTCTGTTCTCTAATAGCTGGCTGAACATTTGTTCCTTTACTGCAGACAAATCAAAACCTCATGACATATTATATAAGAAACTGGGAATCTTCAGACTGACTAAGTCCATAACTCTAGCTATCCATCATACAACATCTAAATGTCTCTTATCCAAGCAAACTTCAAAAGACATCGTGTGATTACAGGCAGCAGTCAGAAAAATTTCCAAATAAAACTTAATTTCTTCTTTAACAGTTCTGAGTTAGGTTAATACAGTCCTTCAAAACTTAGAACTTTATCACAGTTGGAACAATAACTGTTCTGATCTGAAGACAGTACTTGGGTGTGGTTTTTTGCCATATGTTAGCTTATTATTAAGCTAGAATGCCTTGAAGCTTCCATGTACTGAAGTTTTACGTCCTTGGCTTCTCTGAAGTCAAATACATCCTCCTTTCTTCTTTATTCCCTCTTTTGCTTATATAAAAGCAGAAATTCTGGAAGTGGGAATATATGTTTTCTTGATTTATTTTCTCCTTCCTACATAATATGATACTTCATAATCACAACACTTCATAATAAAATTCCTCCATATGCTGAAGGAATTCCCTAAACACAGATGTCCATGATTCCAGAAGATGAAATTATTGTGACATGCACCACTGTTAAGTCCATTCTTTGATACCAACCAATTACTGTTATTACTAGAAAGCTGGATCTCATCTTTTAGAAGAGTTTAGAACTATCCTGTATTTTCAAGTATACTCGTGTTATAATTTTGCTGGCAACCGTATTGCTTTGTAGATTGTCTCCTTTAAAACTTTAAGAGCAACATGATACTGTGATTGTTAGTCCAAAATACATCATTTGTTGGAGCATTAAGTATTTCATCCACTTGGTCTTTTATTACATAGGTACATCTCACACATAATTAAATATCAAAGAAATCACTATTTTTGACTTATTCCTTGGATCCACCTGCTGGATTTGCCTTTACGACAAAATTAAGATTTGAGTAAAGGAATGACAAGTTTTTTTTCTGTACAGATAATGGTAGAAACTCATCTATTCTGGTCCTAACACATTTCGAAAATCATGTCTTCACACATACCAGAATACATACCTGAAAAATTAAAGCAATGCTTTCTGTGAAAGCATTACCCTAAGTGAACTCCTACTATCATCCTGAAAAGCTAACATAAAGTTTCCCTGCTGGACAATCAGATGTCTCAGCTGATTTTTCTTCAGGCATTTGCGATTTCTCTTTTTATACCTTTTAACTCTACAGTAAGAGAGGAGACAGCTCCTACATAAACAGACCTTGCTCCACTACATGATGCAATCCTTTCTGGCAACAGAGGAAGGAACTGAATGAAATCAGAAAGTTAAAAAGAAAAAAGATATTATAGAAAAAAAATTCAAGGAGTGCGTCTTACCAGTCCCCAATATTACAGCATTAAAGCAGTAGATAACAGACCTTGTAAGAGAGGTCAACCATCAAATTATTTGCCAAGTTAGAAAAGAAAGAATCTAAAACAAGAGTAGAAGAGGCACCAGTACAACAGATGTCACAAAAACTGACTTTAATAAATAACTTGTCTGAAACTACACTGGAAGAACATAATAATACTGCTGTTGAAGAAGGTCTTTCTCAGACACACTGCAGATGTTATTTACTATTGCTCCTCTATTAATTTTTCTTTAGAAATGGATCATAATAATGCACTGACCTGTAATAAAGAATCTGGGGAATTTGTCCTCGCGTTTGGTTTGTGCCATTACTGCTCAGACTACATGTACTAAATGTAAATGTTACACCATCTGGACACTGAACTGTGGTCATCCCTCCATCTCCATTGGCAGTCCGGCTTCCATAATTCCTCAAACGAACCGCGTATTTCACATTTTCCTTAAAAAGGAGAGCCAAAATAGTACACAGTATAAAACAAGTAAGTTAAGCTTCATGGTATTATGAAAGCTATTATTTTACATTAATATTGGAGTCTGAAAAGTTCTTCAAAGCACCCTACAAATGAAATTAACTGAAAAAAAAAATAAATCAGCATTTAAGAAAAGTCACAGCTGCTCTATGTTTCCCAACTCCAGATCATAACTTGAGTAAAATATTACTACTAAATACTTGAAGAGCTACTAAGTATAAACAATTATCATCTATCTTATGCTAATAAAAAAATCAAGATTTAATTTCTTTTTGATACAAGGACTTGAACTTTTCAGCTACAGGGTAAAACAGACTTTACAAAGCAAACATATCAAGATCAACTTGCTAATGTGTACAGACAAAAATCAATTTACATTCTGATTTTTTGTTATCTAAGAATTCATATGAAACCTACAGACATGCACTTCTTTCATTTACCTTCAGTGGCACGACTTTGTCAATTCTGATTTCAGCTATGTCACTGGGAGAATCATCTGTGGTGTAAGTTCCTTTAACCAACTCTAAAGAAGTCCATCTATGAGAATGAGTTGAATCTCCAGTATGATCACTCTGATTCAAAGAAACAAATTTTAATACATTTATAATGTAAAAATTTGGCACATTCAGGGAACCACGTAAGTTATGTTGCCTTGCACAAATCATTACACACAGCATTATGAACAAAACAAAGCATGAAAAGCCTGTTCAGAGTCAACAGTAAAATCTCTCTGCTAAAGAAAAAATGACTGACCAGAGAGCTTAATTTCCCAAGCAGCCTATAATTGCCCTTCTGAAGATATTAGAACAGTAGGTTAAACTGAGTGTAAAAGAACAGAGGATTTTCCTCATTACAAGAACTCACAGCACAGTTTTATGCTTCTTCAAAGAGTGTACTTCAACAAGACATGAAACACCTGTAACTACAGCCTGACCATGCTGGTAGGCTACCCTTTTCTTCAGTTTTTGGTTTAAAATGTTTTAACTCAGTCTCCCTTATTTCACTATTTCCTTTGCAGCTTGCAGGGAAAACTAGTACTAATTTACATTTAGGTCCAGAAAGTGAAAAGCTCATTATACTTCAAATATTATTTGTAATAAATTAGTATTTCAAGACCGTAACCAAGATAAAGACTCTACTGGATATGGTATGTAGCTTGCAATACCACTAAAATCACCACCACAAGGAAACCAAAAAACCCTGCTACCACTGCACTGTTTTACTGGTAGCCTAGACTGCATAATATCACAGTATTATTTCATAAAAGATACTATGAAAAAAATTTTGAGGTTACTTTTGTTCAGATTGTTTTCTCAAACGCAGTACTTACATCATCAACTAATACCTCCAACTCATACTCATGAATTCCTCCTCCACCATAAACAGAGAATCCTACCACGACTACACCGGGTTTGTCGACAGAGAAACATATTGCATCAGGGGATCCATTCCCAGTATTCCAGCTCCTTCCCTGACTTGTTTTAGTGAATCGGTTTGGAGTGGATTTGACAGAATGGAGAGAGTTCAGTCCATCAACCTGTAGGAAGTTACATACGTGAACCAGAAAAATAAATTGACTGCTAAACATCAGACAACTTTAATAAAGCCAAGTTAAATGAATTAAAGCATCAGATTTTTAACTGGGAAAATTTGAAAGTCAACTGAAAAACACAGAAGATACCACTGGGGCTTCTACTCAGCATTAACTAGAAAGAAAATAGAAAATGTAATTTCTGGTAACTGGGAATTAACGACAAATAATTAGAAATCTGATTCCTTTTTTTCTCAAGTATTTAAATATGTGTTTTGCAGGATGAATTAGCACAAATTATAGCTTAATGAGCTTCAAGAAGAGTGAGGTATTTCTGCCTTAGGTAAGGTCAAGATCAAGAGAGGGCAGATACTGGTATTATATAAGAATAAAAAAAATCTTCAATATTATCAAAAGCTTGGTTCTTTCTGCTAAAAATCTCTGCTCATAACACAAAGACAGTGATATCCCTTTAATAAAATCAAATGAATTTCCATCATTTAAGGGCATCACAGTCTCATGAAAAGAAACTTCCCCATGTGATTACGAATCTCGATGTTGTAAGAAGTTGAACTCCTTCCCACTCTCAATTTTGAACACAAAGAAAATAAACTGGAAAAAGTCTACTGATGCAGACAATTATAATACACATATTATACAATACTGAACATAAAAAGGAAGATATGTGTAAGGAATATCTTGCATATAAATAGAGAGGAAGACACAATGCATAAACAAAGCACATAAATTCTAGCCCATAATAAAAAGCATATATGATCAGAACTACTCAGAAGTACCTAGGATACTACGGAAAGCACAGAGATGCTCAGGTACATGGCACTCCAGCAAGCACCTAACAAATATATTTTGAGTGTCTACATGCAGAGATAGGCACGCCAAAAAACAGCACTCCAAAAACTATGATTTGCAGTACTCTGCAGCCATTACAAAGTAGCTAACTGTCAACAGTACTTTCCTAACACAGTGAATACATGCTTTTAAATTCATGTTAAATATCTGAAAGCTAGTGAGAATTAAGAATTCCAGCATCTGTGAAAGATTTGCACACTTATAAGTCACATTCATAATATACTTGTCCTGAAAGACTTCTAGCACTGATTTTATAGAAGCTTTACCTCAGATCCTAACGCTGATGCTGTAAGCTCACTCACAATACTGGCAAGCAACCCACAGGTATTAGAAACCAGATGTGAAGAGAAAAGCTCATTTTCTCTTCTAAGGCTGTTCCGCACTGGTAAAACAACAATGACCAACATCTTTTCTAGCACCTCCCGAAAGCTTGTCATCCCTGAAACATTTTCTTCACTCTGCATCATGGAGAGAAAAATGACAAATGACATTGTTCTTACTTGAAAAATCACACACTGATTTTCATATATTGTAAGTATTAGGCAACTCAAAAATTCATGACTTCTTAAAAACAAGAAGGTTAAAAAACAATTATAGAATCACAGAATGGCCTAGGCTGGAAGGGACCTTAGAGATCATCTAATCCAACCTCCCTGTCATGGGCAGGGACGCCTCTCAACTAGATCAGGCAACACATGGGGACTGAACGGGGATGGAACCCGTGACCTTGGTGTTAACAGCACCATGCTCTAACCGACAAAAATCCTCAAAGGTATCATAAAATGTATTTCTTTGTCAAAAAGCTGACTAATGTTCTTAATTTCCAGAGGTGGCATTGACTTCATTTATTGCACTGGAAAGATACACAGGCATCCTTCCCATGAAGGAGCTTTTCTTATACTTCTTGTCTCACTGTGTATAAGCATACATTAGAATACAACAAATACTTAACTATAGATCATTGTCTTCCCAAAAATATCCATGTAGTGAACAGCTAAGGAAGACAATTGGGTCAAGCAGAACTACAGATACGTGTACAGAATTCTATCGAGGAAGCTGTACCCAAGACAGGAGTATTGTCTTTGTGTTTAATAGCTTTTTGGTGATTTTTCTTCTTAATTTGTGCAGGTGTTTTCTAAGCCTGTGAAAATTCATAGCGTAATAAGGGCCTGCACAAACACGTTCCAAAGCTTAACTGCATATTTTATGAAGAGCAGCAATCTTTTAAACTTACCTTTTCCTGAGGTCTTCGGTTGCTCAAAACTTTTAGTACTGGAAGACTCAACAATTATCCTTTACTTACCCTTTTGTACATCATTCATAATTTCATAAGATCATACTTCTCTTGTCTTTTAAAGCAAAAAATACTGTCTAGTAGTTCCATCCCTTTATCACTTTTCATCTTTTTATCTTTATCACTTTTCATTCCTGTAAATCTGTTCTGGAATAACAAAACTGCAAAAATCACAGAATCATAGAAGAGTTTCTATTGGAAGAGACCTTCAAGACCTGAGTCCAACCTTTGTCCTAGCCCTATCAACACCTCTAAACTATGTCCCTCCGCACCTCACCTACAAGTCTTTTAAACACCTCCAGCAATGGTGACTCCACCACCCCCCTGGGCAGCCTGTTCTAATGGCTGACAAACCTCTCAGTAAGAAATTCTACCTAATATCCAATCTGAACCACCCCTGGCACAACTTAAGGCCATTTCCCCTTGTTCTGTCACTCACCACTAGGCAGAACAGACCAACTCCCACCTTGCTACGGCCAGCTTTCAGGTAGCTGTAAAGAGTGATAAGGTCTCCCCTGAGCCTCCTCTTCTCCAGGCTAAACAGCTCCAGATCCCTCAGCAGTTCCTCCTATGACACACGCTCCAATTCCTTTACCAGCTTGGTAGCCCATCTCTGTACCCTCTCCAGAACCTACATAAATAGAGCATTCGAGAGCCCTTGATTAAGGAATTGTCTAATAACCTTTGAGAGAACTACATGAACTGGGCTTCCCTTGTTCACCTGCTTGTTGATGCCTTGAGAAACTCCAGTCTGAGACATGACTTTGGAGTGGTAGACCTTGGAGTCCTAGTGGGCAGTAAGTTGTCCATGGGACGGCAATGTGCCCCTGTGGCCAAGAGGGCCAATGGGATCCTGGGGTGCATTAAGAAAAGTGTGTCCAGCAGGTCTAGGGAGGTTCTCCTCCCCCTCTACTCTGCCCTGCTGAGACCACACCTGGAATACTGTGTCCGGTTTTGGGCTCCCCAATTCAAGAGAGACAGGGACCTACTGGAGAGAGGGCAACGGAAAGCTACGAGGGTGATTGAGGGACTTGAACATCTCTCCTGTGAAGAGAGACTGAGAGAACAGGGGCTGTTTAGACTTGAAAGGAGAAGGCTGAGAGGATCTTATTAATCTATATAAATATCTGAGGGGTAAGTGTCAAGAGGAAGGGGACAATCTCTTCTCACTGGTGCCCAGTAACAGAACAAGAAATAATGGGTTTAAATTAGAACATCAGAAGTTCCACCTCAACATGAGGAGAAATTTCTTTACTGTGAGGGTGACAGAGCACTGGCACAGGCTGCCCAGGGAGGTTGTGGAGTCTCCTTCTCTGGAGACTTTCAAAACCCGCCTGGATGCGTTCCTGTGTGGCTGCCCTAGGGGATCCTGCTCTGGCAGGGGGGTGGACTAGATGATCTCCAGAGGTCCCTTCCAACCCCAAATATTCTATGACTCTATGACTTTTTGCCAAAGCTGTGTTGACCCTCTGTCAAAACACTGACTCTATCCACATATTCATTCTTGTGATCACATGCAAAAAAGCTGACAATCTCTTACAGAAAATGCTATGCAACGGAAGACAAATCCAAACTATATTTCTGCCGATTTAATATTCCAAAATAAATAAGAATTTCTGCTCAGACATTCTCCAAACATGATATAATTGGAATACTTTAGACTGAAATATGAAAATAAAATAATTACATTTCTGAAACAAGCTTTTTAGAAAAAAAACACTCAGGCAAATTCAGCTCCATCCTTATGACTTCAACTTTCAGAATTGTTTTATGTAGCAACGTTATTAAATTTTTTAAAGCATATCCTAACCTGACTAAGTTTTTCCATGTGTGCAACCAAAAGAGGAAAACGATGGGCTAGAGCAGAGTCATTCTCAGTGCTGACTTGTTTAACCATTGAGCGCAGCAACGCCTCTCCGTCATACGCAATTGGAAAGATCGAGGTCAGTTTTACTGAAGTGTGGCAGAGAGCAGACATAACAGCAGCAAGCAGCCGACTACTGGAGGTTTTGAAATTTGCTTCCTGGATATCCTAAAAACATAAAAAGAAATTAATAGAATGGCCCTGTTGCATGCAAAGTAAATGAGAGAAACTACTTCTGAAAGGAAATTTCCAGTTTTATAGTAATTATAAAAATAAATTAAAGAAAGAATTTCATATAACGTTAGCTTTCCTGTGAATTTCACATTATTTTCTCTTAGGAGCTTCCGCTTAGATCTTTCAGATTGGACTAATCAGAATTTGTTGTTCGTCAAGTTTTAAAACAGTAAACTCATTTAAAATTACTTTTGAAATTACAGCACACTTTGAAGACAAAGCTCTTTGATTACTCAAACAATTTAATTAGAATACTACATTAAAAAACTGATTCTCCCTTGAATTTTTATATGCTAAGTAAATTCTCATGCAAAGAATCAACTAGTTTACATCTCACTGCAATTAATGCAAGCATCTCCACTGTTTAGACATCAGACGCTCATTCACAGTAAGCAAGATACTTAAAAGAATGCTGTTAATTACAGAATAATATTGGCAGCTTTCCAGGTACTTTGCTGGTTCAGAGCATTGTTGTAACATTCAATAATGAGAAATTACTCAAATGTTAGTGAAGTGTATTAAAAAAATGCCACCACACGTGTGCTGCTAAGCAACATGCAGCAAGAGTATTCACATATAAGGCATGCTCAACGCCAGAAAAGATAATGCTGACAGTTATTAGCACCACAAATTTTCTTTGCTGTCACAGAGAGCATCTTAGTGCTAGAGGAGACAGAAATTCTCAGGCTCTTGTTGAACTTGGATAGTTGTTTTGAAAATAAAACAAACAAAACACCAACAAACCCAACACCAAAACCCAACTGTCAGAAAAACAACCAAACCATGGCAGAATTCAAGTTGCAGACCAGGATCAGCAATAAAAGGAATAAAGGTTTTCAATACTGCTTAGCTTCTCTTTGAGCAAAAGGGCAAGACAAGTTGTAATATTTACTTGTGTCATTTTACTGTACCTGGTCCAAACAATTCAGCAAGTCACAAAGACATGCCCACTGAAGAGCCGGTGTTGGATAAAATGAATGAAAGCAAGCTGTGAATGTATTATGGCATTCCAGAACAGCTTCTAAAAGACTGAGAGGCTGACTGAGGTATCCCTGTGGATCATTGTCCAACTTCACCATGCAATGATCAACTCCTTCAGATAAAATTTTTCTCAGCAAGGTCCTAGTTTTTCCAATGCAATCTGCTAATTTGCTGGTTTCTTCTACAACCGCCTTCGCCGTAGCTGCAAGGTTACACAAAAGAGGAGCACAAAATGTACAATAAATGAAACATTTTCATATTATAATGCACATTTTACATGCAAATGTAACAACTTGGTTTTAGCAACATTGATGAATCTACATTCAGAGAAGTACATTTTAAAAGGAAAATAGTGAATAGTGTTAAACTACATCAAAGAAACCTGAACAATAGAAACTTCCAATTTTCTAGTCTTTCATAATATATGCTACATTTTAATATGAACATTGTTAAACTACAGGCATGAAAACCAGACAATGTCTTTTATATCCAAATTATGCTCATCACCAAAGCAGTTACCATGTATAGAAACTGAAAACAGGAAGATAAGAAATAGAATCACAGAATGGTTTGGCATAGAAGGGACCTAAAGATCATCTATAGTTCCAACCCTGCTACCAGAAGCAGGGACACCTTGCAGTATACCAGGTTGCTCAAAGCCTCACTCAACCTGGCCTTGAATGTTTACAGGAATGAGCATCCACAACTTCTCAGCATCCTGTTCCAGTGTCTCACCACCCTCATATCAGAGAATTTCTTCCCAATATCCAACGTAAATCTATCCACCTTCAGTTTGAAACAGTTACCCTTCATCTCATCGTTACAGGCCCTTGAAAGCAGTCCCTCCTCAGCTTTCCCGTAGCCCCCTTCAGGTACTGGAAGGCCACTATAAGGTCTCCCCAGAGCCTTCTCTTCTCCAGACTGAGAACAACCCCAGCTCTCTCAGCCTGTCCTCATAGGGGAGATGCTCCAGCCCTCTGATCATCTTTGTGGCCCTCCTCTGGATCTTTTCCAACAGGTCTGTGTCCTTTTCATTTTGGGGGACCTCAAAGCTGAACACAGTACTGCAGGTGAGGTCTCACAAAGAAAGGAGTAGAGGGAAAGAACCACCTCCCTTGTTTTGCCAGCCACACTCCTCTTAATGCTGCTCAGGATGCAAGTGGGCTGTGAGCACACATTGCTGCCTTGTACCCAGTTTTTCATCCACCATTCCAAAAGCAAAAATAGTTGAGAAGAACTCAATCATCAAGCCAAACAAGCAATCAAAATAGACACAAGTTACAGTGTAAACGTGGTGTTGGATGCTTGGTTATGCAGATAATTGCAAATATCCCACTTCTGACAGCAAGTCTCTTAATTGCTCCAATAAAACTACCTAATTTCATCTTACAGCACTTGCTGTGTGAATACTGAGATCACATTCTGCATGTCCTGTAGATGATTATTTGCTGATAAATACGAAACAAGCCAATTAAGAGGAATACCTGATATTGGATATATTTCACAGGTGTAGACCCTCAGCAACCTCAGGCAACAAGTGCCCACAAAACGCAACCTTTCCAAATCCAGAAGAGTAGCGGTGTATTGGAAACCTTTAAGCCCGCGAAGTTCTTCAACTCCCAGCACCAGTGTTGTCCAGCTCCAGTGAAGAATGCTCAACAGAGATTCAAAGCACTCCTATTTCCGTGTATGAAGGATACAAAAGATGGATTTTGTGTTAAAGTGAACTTCCAACATCAGTATAAGATGAAAAGCAAATAGCACGTATACCCATGTTTATTATAAAAATATAATTACCTCTGTAGAAAACTACCATACAACACACAAATCTTAGATGCTTTAGAACAAAAAGGAGCACTGAGAATGTTGCAAACACTGTAATACCATGCTAACAGCAATTTATAACTTACGTTACAATATTATGTGTGTGGAACTCTCTTGTTTTTTCAAGAGCTAACAAATGTTCGTATTCACCTATAATACAGATTTTCCGTTAAATTTTGCTTGCTTCATCTGCATATGAACAGTGGAACACCTACTTTTAACAGAACACATTCTTGTCATAATATTAAAAATTAACAGGGCTGTCTCTGATTATTTTTTTAAACAGTTATGATTTGCAGGATCATGGATAATATATCACATTTACGGTACTTGGAAGCTCAACAAAAGCATATGATAGTCCACAAGAAGTGTGAGGAGTTAAAAAGTTCTGTTTGTCCAAAAATTTGTTTCTACTGTTAACAAGTGTGGCTGACAGTTTCATAAAGTTGTACATCAGAAAGCAAACTAGAAGTATTTGGTATTTAATACCTTCAAGCTGCAGCTATCTAGCTGAGTGTTCAAAGTTAGTCATAAAATGCCTAATAGTACAAGAAGCCAAACTCTCCTCTTATACCAATTCAGACTAGTGAAGGATAAAAGCAGCAAGATAATGAAGAGGGAAGATACCACGTGAAGTATTAAAAACCACAGGAGTTCATAGTTTAATGCAAATACTTTTAAGCAAGCATGTATTAAAATATTTATTAATATGCTGATACTATGAATGACTAAAAATGCAAATCGGGTAAATAATACATTTCTAGAGGAAACCTGAATAGGAGAAGATCATTCTGATCATTAGAAAATACTGACAAAATGAAGACTACACCAATGAGAGAAAGCAAGCTGGTTAAGAAAAATGGACTGCAAGTGTCAATACTGAGGCAACAACTTCAATGTAACTATCAACTGAGAACACTGACAGTATGTGTAATGCAGTATAAAACACAAACCAGGTTGGAAAGGAAAATAAAATAATCTTTGCTTGTAACAGATAAAGAAGGGATTGTACTTCAAAAACACAAAGACTGAACTGACCTTAGTGTGCGTGATAATATTGCATTTCAACTAAATGCAGTATTCCTCAAAATTTCACTAGCCTCCTTGTATATGAAGAACTGCAAACTATCTTCTATTCATAGTTGCAGTTCACTGTGCCTGTCAGTACTCCTTACCTAAGCTTATCAAAGTTAAATTAAACACTATCGGATCTTCAGTGTATACTGGAATGCATCCAAGATGAACATGAATCTCACTAATGACAGTAACTGCAAAGTCATGGAAGACATCATGTAGCACAGCTCCCTCAAAACTCTAAAAAGCCTGCTATTACTAATTTCTTGGCAGGGAGTAAGGCTTATACATGGGACACAATCACTGAGTATGAACTCGACTCCCATTCACCCCAAAAAACCTCAAAAAGTAAGTCACTCAACCTTGTAAATGAATACATTTTTAGGCCCTCATCCTCAGGTCAAGATTTAGCTTAGATTAAGTTTACATCTGAAAACTCCAGAAAAAAGTAAAAAAAAAAAACCACCACAACCCAACAGTGTTCTATATACCAGTGTATCTAACTTCTGCTTGATAAAGCAAACAGAAAAGAATGATTACTTATTTCCACATGCACATCTTTTAGTTTCCTAAGTATGAATTAACTTGGAGGAAACACAGAAGGTTCCTGATAATACTCACCACTGAAACAGTTCTGGCAAAAGATCTCTTTAAAATATGCACAGGTTCACTGGTTTGCTGTTTTCCTTTGGAGGCACTGCCATCACTTGTCGGCAGCCTGGAAAGACAATTAAAGACCTGACTCAAAATCTGCCCTTTTATTTTTAGCAGGTTTTACTATTTGTATTGTTCACGTGGAACAAAAGTGGAAGAGAAGGTTAAGGTAACTACGCAAAAAATGTTCAATTTCAGCATAACTTCCTCCAGTTCCTAATCCTTCTAGACCACTAATGACATATCTTTTAATTCTGTTCAACTGGCAAAATTGTGACCACTGATAACAAAGTTGAGATCTAATTATATATGAATTATTATAAGTATTTACTGTATATCTTCAAAAGTCATTTGGAAAACTAGAAATATTATTTCTTAAAGAACATAAGTTTTGTGAAGGCGAAATATATATGGAGGTAAAGAATACAGGTAGTACTTGCTTCTGTAGCACCTTTCTTTTTGTGCCACTCATGGCTCTTCAGTCACATCCTTCCTTCAGAGGCCCCAAGGCTTGTTTGCCTTTGGCTACAGCTACCTCTCCACAGAAATCACCCAAACATTTAATAGATTATGCCAGGACTAGAAGTGCATCAGCCAAAATCTTCATCTGGAGAGACAGAGGTCTATTGACACAAAGCTTAGGGGCAAAAGTGAGCTGTACTGATAAGGGACCCTGACAAGGACGTGGTTAGAGAGGGCGTTAGCAAGAGAACTGGTATGAAGAAATCCCAAGTTTCAGAATCAACACTGGGGCAGGGTGGAACATAAATATACATACACAAACTATAAAAATTTAGTCTTATATAAATCTGAGAAAATCTGAAAAATACAGTAGCGATACAGTGATAGAGTTCCTGCTTTTTAAAACACATAGCATTTATCACCTGAATAATAGTTTATGGTTGCTTATTATAAAGCACAATTCAATGTTTGGTTTTGTCGTTTGTTTGTTGTTGTTTGGTTGGGTTTCCCTCCTCTCCCTTCATTAAAATCATCTGTTTTACAGCACACTGCTCCTAAACTGAGGCCTACTAAACTCCATTAGCAGAAAAATGAAGCATCTTAGATAAAACCATGAGGATCTACAGAAGTAAATGAGTCTCAGAACATAATACAGACTGCAAGAAAAACTGCAAAGAAACGAACGTTGGCATGACTGGATTTATCCCTTTTCTCACAGACAGTAAGTTTTCCCTAAATTTTTCAGATACAGGTTTCCATAGCTTCCTACAATAATATTTTCATCAAATACATGCTTACATTAACAGGGTTTCTCTTTAAGAAACTTGTCAACAAATTGTTCTAAAGAGAGGTCAAAATATTACCTGTATAGTAACTGCGGGATCTGCCCTGCATTAACATCCGTACCATTATTTGATTTCTTGGAACTTTTAAACTGAAATACAACACTGAAAGAGAAACGATCCAATTACTATTCAAGTAAGATCTCTTGGTTTGTATTAAAAGATACAGAAAAAAAATATATATATACCCATCATCTGTAGTAATAGAGGCCTGTCCATGAGATCCACAATCACTGCTAGGTCCTGATACTCTTGCCCATGCTACATACCACCAGCCAGCTTGTAGGAGTACTGGTTCATCAAACATCATTGCATACTTCTCTCTGGGAGAAATAATTTTTTTAAAAAGATGTATGTGAATTAGGGGTTTTTTTTAGATTAATCTTCAATGAATTGCACCTTGCTTAAAAAAGAAAATTGAAAATTAATAGAATTAAGTTATTAATCTCAAGTAACTATATTGAAAATGTAAAATAATTTACTGGAAACGATTGTAGTCATTAAAAGTAATAATTCAGATGGACCTACGAATGCCTAATTGTAGCATGATCTAGAAGAGGTTAAGTTAAATTAATAGTCACAAGCCCAACTATATTTAATACATAACACTAGAAGTAATATATTATATTCTTCAAATTCAATTTCAGAAAACTTCGTAGGAGCTTATACATAAATTCTAAGGAATTACACATGAATATTTAAGAAAGTAAAAGAATATATATTTAGGGGCACTGATACAAAAGAATTAGTTATGGACAATTTGAATGTTAAATTATTTCCTAACAGGAAATGAAAAAGCAGCTAAATCATGGCTAAACCAATCGATATGCAAAAACCTTTCAAGTAGTAACTGCTTGTATTCCAATGAACTGAAGCACAACCATCCTTCTTCTGGTTACGATAATCTCATCATTAAACTTACTGCAATAGGAGTTCTTTCATGCAAATACCCTTTTGTGCTCAAAAGCAGCCTTCTGATAGAAGTACTCAAAAGAACTGCTGCCACATTTTGTCTTGTCTTATCACAGGAATCTGGGGTTTGGTTTTATACAATAGCAAACTTGAGATGATTTTTCCCTTTAATTTGTACCATAACGGTTTAGTGAGTTATCTTCTATTTTACTGCTTTACGCAACACACTTTGCTGGAGCGTAAGTTTTACATCACTTACTACAAACTGACAAGTGATTTTGAAATGTATATGAAGACAGTAAAAATAAAGATCAAGAAGTAGGCAAGGAAAACATCTTACCTAGCAGCACAATCATACGCTAAGACATCCGTTTCAGCAAGAAGGTCTCCATCAGTCTCATGGTCTCCCCCATCGGGACCCAATTCAAACAACTGGTGGAGTAAGAGAAAAGGTAGAAATACAACTTAGGTGTTAAGAATCTCATCATACCACTTTTTCCTGTCTGCCATTCTGTCTACTACTACTTTTGGAAGAGGGAAAAAGTAATTTTCAGTTACTATCACTGACAGGCAAATTTCCAGCTGGAAGTCAGGGTTTTGTAATATCACTGTTAAAAACTAACAAATTACACTAATCTTCCAGCTTCATGCTATATTCTGAAGTGCAGAAACTCCCCAGAACTTGTAGACAAGTAAAATACAGAGCATCTAAAAAAAGTAAACTTGAGCAGAAGGTGCAGGCTTTCATAGACTGAAATGCACCAAAGATACACTCAGCTTCTCTGGAAATGCACAGCTTGACTGTTAAGCAGAGCTAGTCAATAGTGTCACAAACAGCTGTTGACTAGGACAAAAGATGGTATCTTTCTCAAAAGAACCCGGGTTCCTTAGTCAAAAATCATTTCTACAGCTTGATGAGTTTGAAAAAGGACCACAATATATGTCTATGACTTCTTTTGCAAATGCCTATTTAATACACGGTTGCTCTGTTGTAGAACTGGCAAATCTTATCTTGGCTACAAACCAATCCTAGACAACCAGAATCATATTGAAAAAACACTAGAGTGCTTTCACAGGGTTATTGCCTTTAGTACAAATATTAATTAAATTTCAGTAATAATTTTTTTTAAAGTTTATTGGTTTTCCTTAATCATTTACAATTCTCAGTCATTGTGTTAAACTAGAACAAAGGACAATTACTTCTTTCGGATCTTCATTTGTTTTATGCAAATGTTACTGCTAAGCATGTGTAATCCATTCCCCTATACCAAACCTTAATATCAATATCTATTCATCTGAAAACAGAAGAATTCAGTAGCCCACTAAATTACAAGTAACAACAACATATCCATAATATACACATCCAATATAAATCTTAGATATTAGATTTTTCCTTTATCACACCTTTTGGGGAGTTTTTGAAATCCTTATTAAACACAGGAACAGAAACTAATTATCAGAAACCTGAACTCTGTTACCACATGAGCTTTTTTATCCAAATACAGGCTTATTTATTTATTTGTTTTAAATCAGCCCACATGCTCCAGCCCTAATCATCCTTTTTTCTGGCACAAAGCAGAGTTAAGTGTGTTTGGTGCCATTTGCTCCCAGTTGAAGAATTCCAGCTGAGAAGCTATCCAGAGAGCAGTCTGAGAAAGGAGCGACAGGGCCAGTGGGCAGCCATGGCTTGGCTGGTACCAAAGGAATTGCAGCTACTGATAAGCAGCCCTCTGCTGGTTTTGAGCAGCAGTCCCTCATGTATCCTGACATAGGATACGACTCTAACTTAAAGCTCACACCACCAGTCTTCTGCAGGTGCACCTCTGAGTTTTTCATAAATAGAACCATTTGATTCACTACCACATCTGCTCAAGACACCTCTAAAGATCACAGAAGGTTGGAAAAGATCTCCAAGATCATCAAGTCCAACAATCAAACCAACACTACCATAACTACTAAATCATGTCCCAAAGTGCCATATCTACACATCTTCTGAACACCTCCAGGGATGGTGACTCCACCACTTCCCCAGGCACCCTGTTCTAATGCTTCATCACTCTTTCAGTGACGAAGTTTTTCCCAATATCCAATCTAAACCTCCTCTGGCACAACTTGAGCCCATTTCCTCTTGTCCCATTGCTAGCAACTTGGGAGAAGAGACCAACATCCACCTCCCTACAATCCCCTTTCAGGCAGTACGTAGATGGCGTAGCATTTAGTGAAGGTAAGAACAGGACAATTTTTCATAATTAAGAATACTAATTCTCAGATCTCTGCTTCACCTGCCTTACCTGCATAAGGTTCATTACTTCTCATTGAGAAGCCACCTTCTAATTCTATTACTAATGCTTTAATACACAGTAAACCACTCATTGAATCAAGAAATAAATTAAATCATAGGTGGCATTTCTAAGGTTCTGATTTGAGATACAATACTTTTTAAAACAAAACCAAAAAACTTACCTTTATTTTAGCAGTGTATTCACCTCTACCTCCAAAGAGACCAAGACCACCTAACAAAATATCCGTATCAGCACAGAAACGGATAGCTTCTACTGAGTGGGCTGAATAACCCCAGCCCCCTCCATGACCTGTAGAAAAAAAATAACCTAAGGTTCTGATTTGAGATACAATACTTTTTAAAACAAAACCAAAAAACTTACCTTTATTTTAGCAGTGTATTCACCTCTACCTCCAAAGAGACCAAGACCACCTAACAAAATATCCGTATCAGCACAGAAACGGATAGCTTCTACTGAGTGGGCTGAATAACCCCAGCCCCCTCCATGACCTGTAGAAAAAAAATAACCACATTAAAAATACAGTCAATTGTTCTTATTCTTTTATTTTGCAAGCCTGACCAGCTTGCGCTATAAAATTTTACTGCGTACATACTTTCAAATCTGTTAACAACACTATAGTCTTCTTTAGAATAAACTTTCATTACTGCTTGAGTCTCTTCTTCTGTATTTGCTACACCCATTTTTAAGTCCTGCATAGCAGCCAAAGTATCAAGACAACCTAGAAGAAAGCAAACGGAAAAAAGAACTCAAGATTTTCTTACTGCTGATTACTATCAGTGAAATGGAAACAAAGAAACACAAGTGTTTTGTCCTTAAACCACACATACACTACTGAATATCGTTACAGCTTTGATTAGGTCAGTGGTCACTCCTGTAGAATCTCGAGGTTCAGTATTGAAGGTTGATTTCATTTAATTTTTCATTTTCCAAAATAAATAGAATTCTGCTTAAATCTACTTCGTAACTTTTCCGATGGTAAATAAATTCCTACCTACATTTCCCATACTACCAAAACCAGATCATTTAGAAAGGCTTCTTACTTTACTATGGTGACCTCTAATAGCAAGTTCCATCAGAACTCTAAAATACTTTAGCACCGTTAAGATGGCCAAAGATAACAATTTTGATTAAAATTAATGCATTTCAGACAAATTCTAACTGTTAAGAGCAATGGTGAAAGATCAGAAAGTAAAATCTTAAAGTCAAAAAGCTGTGAAATCATGACTTTCTTATACACTAAGTAATCTTCCTCTGTTTCATCTAAACTTCTGACTCATCAACTATAAACGTATACCTAGAATGTGCAAAGCTGCATGAGATCTGGTGGTCAGAGCTTTGGAGCCTGTTGGTAGAGCAAGTTCTGGACTCAGAATACTACACCGGGATTGCATGTCTGGAGCTGAGGGAAGCCTGGAATCAGCAACTACTGCATTGTAACTCCACAGTTCCCTAGCATTTGGTCGAAACCTAGAGCAAGAGAAAAAAAAGTAAAAAAAAAAATCCCCAAACATCTTTTACCTACTGAAAAAAATAAAAAATAAAAAAAATCAAACTGATAACTAAATTTTAAGTTATTTAATGTAAAATGTAGATCTGCTAGTATAAACACTTAAAATAGGACATCATTACACCAAACATATATAAACTTTACTTACTAAAAACACCAGCAAACAGAAAGACCGCAAAACACTCTTATTGTACTTCAAGTCAAACAGTTGTATTATGGGTTTAAAAATATCAGAAAATCTTAAAGACACTTCTCAAAGGTAATAAATATTAAAACAGTACAATCTATTAAGAAGCATAAAGAAACTAGCCAAGTACCAGATGTAATGGCAAATGCGCTCAAAAATGATAAGGATGCCAAATGAAAGTAAAAGGGTTACTCACCTTCAAATACGAGTAAAAAGATCTTGAGAAATCCAACATTTTGGAGGGGGGCTTTTTTAAATGGATAACATCACTTCGTGAGTTTTTAAGGGATTATAGAAAAGGGTAGCATAGAGAAGGGAATATAAAGATTTTTTATACTACAAATTACATGAAGAAAACGAAAAAGTGAAAAAAAAAATGAAGCCCTTGATATCATTATGTAAAAGGAAGAAACAGTCAGAAGACACAGGGCTATGCAAGTGTTCTGAATAAGCACAAAAGGAATTTTCACGTGGTACACTGTTCTAAAACTCCAAATGGGGCTAAATGGTCTAACTAATGGAGAAAGAAATAGTTTTAACTAAAAATATTAAAGGATACCATATGTATTCATATTTCAATGAGTTAGCAATGTGCAAGTTTATACACACATTTATGAAATTATTTAACAACTTGAACTTCACTACTGCCTGAAAAAGTAAGTCACAAAGCAGTGAAGAAAATCTTTCAAATCTGTGTAATCAAGAATGCTGTCTCACTGTACAGATAAACTGCCTCCTTCATATAAACAGGCACAAATAAAAATGCCCAGGAATAATAAATATACCAGATATTTCACTAATATGCATATTAGCATTTCTCTTTAGACTGTTTTAATATTTTCTATTAAACAAAAATGAGATGTAACAGAAACAAATTTGCACACGCTCCAAGAATCAATTCTTTGGTTACGTATTTAAGCTCTAGATTTAGTTCCACAGTGCCCAGAATTTCTCAAGACTGTAATAAAACACCTCAAGCCATGTTTACCCATAATATCACCTTCAACATGTCACTTTGAACTTACTCAACTGGAATAATTGTTTCAGTGTGCTACATTACCTTTTCCTCCCCCAAATCTAGCTGCTTTCCTATTGAGATTGACAAGCACGTTTCATGAATTGATTCTTTCAGCATGCTTAATCGTGCTCATATCATGACCGAGAACTTTAAGTCATTACTCTCCTGTACTTCAGATCTCAGCACAATTTAAGTAAGAACTAGTACCTATCTAATGAGATTCAAACAAACCTGGGGTTATGCATAATGCAGAACTACAGCCATCCAAGGAACTTCAGATGTCATGAAAGAACATATGCCTACTTCAATGTCAAGTGGCTATTAAGTTCTTAAATCCCGATTTTGGATGAAGACATCCCAAGTTGGATACAAGATGGACAAAATGATCTTTTAAAGATATGATCCCACATGATACTATCCTCTCTAGATGAATGCAGACTAACTGGTACCCTGCTTTATTCTAACTGTAAGTGATTATTCTTGTTTTGCCTTCAAAGTCTTCAACCAATTTAACCATCATGCATCACTTGCACAGTTCAACTTTCTCTCCCAAATCCTGGCTAACATGGCTTCTGAATCATTATAGAAGAAACAGATGTTACAATTCTGTTTTGGAACAAGGGCTTAGGATCTATGCCTGCTCAAAGACCTCACTGAAAGTAACCACCCCAAAGACGGTGAAATAAATACAACCACAATTTGGATGCCTATGTTATCTAAATGAATATCTTTATTTTGACCTCCCAAAATGTCAGAACTGGAAAGAATACTACAACTCCACCCCTTCTCCTATTCAACCACTCAGGAAAAGAATACTACAACTCCACCCCTTCCCCTATTCAACCACTCAGGCCTGAAAGAAGATTTAATACACATTATGGAAGCTGGGTACAGGAAGAAAAGTATTTACTGCAGTGTAAAGTAGATAGAGGAAAGTACGGGAAAAATAAAAAGAGTAAATAAGTGGAATAGATTAGCACTCCCCAAAACGTCATGAGACTGAAATGAGAACAATGTGAAAAGGAAAATAAACAAATTAAAAACAGAATCTCACAAGAGGTGTTTGGTTTAGGCTGACTTGAACAAATCATCCAAAAAAATGTGAAAAAAGACACATGGAAAAACTGTTTGTAGTTTACTAGGGAAATGAGCAATATCAAGTCTCCAGCCTCCCAAAATATTTCAAAAAGGACTTCGATACTACAACTTTAATAGCTATAATCCACACTTGCCTCCAAATAACATCATAGACAGGATCCAGACACACACCAGAACCTTGAAGGTCTTCCTGCTCAGAATCATTGAATGTTTTGCAACTGCCATCTACTTTGTTTATCAGAAGACATTTAAAAGGAGGAGGCTCTGATATTGAAGCTGGTACCAAACCTAGAACAGGGAGCATAAAGAGTAGAAAAACATGAAGACTCCACTAATTACATGATATTTTCTATGCATAAAACACTAATGTAGTAGGGAAGAACTGATATACTGCTACAGCAAAAAAATAGCGTAGTAAGACTTAAATGCAAGAAAAGTTTAAACTTTTACATTCTTCTTTGTAACAAAATTAATTTCTACAGGAGTTAGGATCATCATGTGCAGTATAACCAGAAAGTCAAAGTACTCTAACTCTCTCCATTCACATTTTTTACTCATTGCTCCTCTATTGCTTGGTTTTTCCTCCAATACATTTACAATTGCTATTTCTTCCTCCAATACATTTACAAGCATTTGAAATATTATAGAGTATTTCCTAACTCTCTCCATTCACATTTTTTACTCATTGCTCCTCTATTGCTTGGTTTTTCCTCCAATACATTTACAATTGCTATTTCTTCCTCCAATACATTTACAAGCATTTGAAATATTATAGAGTATTTCTTGCCTATTATATGTCTGCTTGCAAATATCTCTGATGTAGCAAGCACATGAGAATTAATGAGAGCTTCATCAATCCGGAGAAAAGTCTGGTCTCCACTTGCTCCAATCCACGTCGCTTTGCGTCCATATTTAGAGCCTATATTAGGCATAGGTGCTGGTTTTGCATTCCAGTAAGGCATATCCAGAATTGGTCTACCAAGCTGACCTTTCTATAGAGAGAATACAAGAATTAGTAAGTAGCAGTAATAAGTTACTTGGATAGTTTCAACATACAAGATTAGTAACCTGGAAGAGACAGTTTACCACAAAATTACCTATAAAAAGCAATGGCTGCCCTAAGTGAAGCATTACACTTTTTAGCACAAATAGTAAGTTACTGACAGATATTCTCCTTCCTATTCAGTTAGACTTCTGAGTGAACCTTTTTGGTTTTTTAATGTAACTCAAACTCTCCACAATGGATAATCATAGAATGCATTGGGCTGTAAGGGACCTTTAGGGGTCATCTAGTCCAAGCCTCCTGCAGTGAGCAGGGACATCTGTAACTAGATCAGATTGCTCAGAGCCCCATCCAGCCTGACCTTGAATGTTTCCAGGGATGGAGCCTCTACTACCTCTCTAGGAAACCTCTTTCAGTGTTTCACCACCCTCACTGTAAAGAACTTCTTCCTCATGTCTAATCTAAATCTGCCTTGCTCTAGTTTAAAACCTCATCCTATCACTACATGCCCTTGTGAATAGTCCCTCCCCAGCTCTCTTGCAGGCCCCCTTCAGGTACTGGAAGGCCGCTAATAAGGTTTGCTTCGATCCTTTTCTTGTCCAGGATGAACAACCCCAATTGTCCCAGCCTGTCTTCAATCCTCCTTTCCATCTTCAGAATCAAATATAAAAGCATTTTTCTCCTTCAATACTTAATATTTGGATAGCTTCAGTGCTAAACAAAGAATGGATTAATTGGGAAAAGAAAAAGAAAAATCTGCATCCAGATAGTCTAAATTCCACTCAATTCTGAACTCAGATGGACTGTAAGTCCGGTACTCAGAAGTACCTAAAAACAAATTAACGCATCAAACTTGAGTTAAAAGACCATAAAGCACTTAAGCAAACATGTCTGTATATGCTCATTAACATCCTGACCCCGAGATCCAGGGCCTTATCTCCTATGTACAACTAGTTATTGAGAGATGAACTAACAGTTGTTATCCTGTACCTAAGTGTAGAGGTAAGAATTGCTGCAATAAACAGGTTTATTGCATTTACCTCATTCAGGCAAAGGGAATTCATTGCAGGCTAATAAAGTCAAGGTAACTTTTTATTTAAAATGGTAATGGAGAAGAAACACGTATGCACAGCAAACACCACCTGTCCAGCATGTTACTCATCTTTCTTCATAACACTGTATAAGTAAATTTATTGAAGATATTTTGAAGAAACATGCTTGCTTTTGAGTTTGTCTTGATTTTCTGAAGCTTTCGACAAACTTTCAAGCACTACAATATTAAAATATGATGCACAGAACAGGTGGGCTAATTATGGTCTCTATTTTTTCTTTTAGTAAAAGAAAATTTCTCAGTCAATAAACAGGCTTTTAAAACTTATTTCTGACAGTGAATTTGTTTTTTCAGAGGCTAAGTTTCACTGCAAGTTAACACAGCTTGCTTTTACGTGTCCAAGTCACTTTGACAAAAATATGGATACCAAAGGTCTTACTTAAAGATTGAAAACCAAGAAAATATTACCTAATCAAAGAGCCATCTTGTGGCACTCTTAATTCAGGCTTTACACTTCCACTTCTAAAATTTCAGACTTCACCTTTTTTTACCTTTTGTAAAAAGATTTCAAAAGGTGCAATTTCTCTTCTTGTTGTGTACAAAAATAGCTCAATATCTGTACTCCAGCTTTTGTCAAAAGGGCATCAGTGAGGAAGCATGAACAACAGATGACTCTGGAGAGACTGCAGTGAAGGGGGTATTTGCAAAGACAAGAAGGCTCAAATGCCTGAAGTCAGAATGCAGGGCTACTATACAATGCTGAATGCTTATTCAGTGAATATAAGAATGAATGCCACATGGACATAGGAGAATACACGCCACGTGGGTATGCAAGAGGAGCAGCAGAATTATGCTGTCTTATGTTGAGCAATAACCTCTCCTCAAGTGTAAGCATAATTTCTGCAACTCAGTATCATTTCTGTGAAAGAAAACAGGATACTTATTTCTTCCAACAAATGCAACCAGAGAGGCAACAGAATGTGCAATGGATACTTATTTACAAGGAACTTGTAAGCATAAGAGTTTGAGAAAACTGGTGCACCTTATAAAATAAGTTTTAAATCACCGTCTAAATTAAAATACAAAAACCACCTAGTATTTCTGGCATCATAGTTTTCTAACCATAACCATATTAGAGATCACATTTTAAAATTTAACAGACACAAAAGACAGGCAGGAGTCATGAGAAATTTTGAAAAGTCTTTGAACAATACATTAATTACTAGCTTATTCTCATAAGTAAATATTATTTCCTTACTGAGAAACTTCCAAACGTGAAAACCTGGCCATCCATTAAAAGAATAGCTGTATGGTTGCTCCCAGCAGTAACTTGTGTACTGGGACCTGGCAAAGCTTGCACCAAAGTGGGACAACCCCTATAACAAAACAAATTAAATTTTGTATCAATATATGCTCAGGCAACATTTAACACACATGTTAGTACCATAAAGATTTCAATCACTGTGAAATACATTCACTGTATGTTCACATACTATATGGAATCAGTCAAGCAACATCATATGTATTAAATAAAAAGAGGTTTGAAAGTCTGCGCCTTCCAGTTAACATTATGGTCTCTTGTTAGAGTGAACTAGATCAATTCCCCTCTCTTACAGTCAAACTCAGAAAGATGTAGAGAATAAAAATAGTTAACATCTAATTGTAGGATTACATTAATGCTACTGTAGTTAAACTAATATGTGTGTGCATATATGTATGCATACAAAATACACTGCAATAAACATTAGCAGTAAAATAATTACGTTGTGAGGATGCTGGTTATGCTGAAATGGCCCTCCTGAGCTCCCTGTCTAGGGACTTATAAAAGAGAGAGGTCTACCCACCTTCACCAGATTTTCAACAGAGAATATGGCATTTAAAAGGCTCTCCATCAAACTCACAAACTCAAGAAAGAACAAACTGTTCTCCATGTTGTTTTCCAGAAAGATCTGAAAAAGTCTATCCATGTGCCTCCCAAATATGGTCAGGTTTAAGTAAATAACTTTTATGTTCAAGTAAAAATAAAGGGAAAAAACCCAACAACTGGATGATTGAGAAGCAAAGAAAGAAAATGTGGAAGAGATGACTTAGAATAGAAATAGCAGAAAATACAAAAAGAACAAAGTATGAGATACTCAGAGTTTTTATCTCAATCCACCAATAAAATGAACAGGAGTGCACAAGAACTGTACCAGAACAAGAATTCTGTAATGAATGTCTACCTAGACCTCAAATTTATTCCAGACTTAGAAAGTCTGTGACTTTGAAGAACAAGTTATTCCCAAATAACTCTATGTTTGGTAAGTCTGACCCAGGGAACAGTAGCACTATTTAAACTTACTTTTAAACATGAACTTTCAAAAGTAGGTTAATTTAAAACAAGAATAGGTTGTTTTACAATGGATTTTTTTTAAAAAAGCGTCAGCTCACCATTACCTAGCAATTTTTTAGCAGCTGATGTGCCAAAAAGATGGGTTATCTGCATGTTCTGATTCTGGCCGAATTGCACTAAAACAGAACTCAAGATGGTAGGAGGAAGGCAAAGCATCGTGTGTTCAAAAAAAAAAGGAAAGGACAGATGGGAAGATGTGAACTTATAGAAATGTGGAACAGAGGAATGCAGCATGAAGATAGGCTGATGATTTGAAGGAGGAGATACACAGGTATACACAAAGAAATTATGACTTCATAGTGAATGTAGCTTCCAGTGGGTGATTCTAGTGCAGATGGGCATGCACAACATGACATTTATAAATTTAGAAGCCTGTGTTGGTCTATAGGCACAATGGTTTGGAGAGCAGCGCAGGGGAAAGGGACC